CTCACGGTCTCTCCTGCCCGAGCTGGCTTTGAACCGCGATCCTCAGATCTCAGCCTCCTGAGTAGCTAGGATTACAGGCATGAGCCACCAGCGCCCGGCTTCAGAGGCTGTTTCTTGTATTTCTGTCCATTGACCTTCAAATCAAATGCTGTTTATTAAACATCTGAATGCCTATATATTTCAGCTATAGATATATTTATTATTATTATTTTATTTTTGTTGGTCCTGGGGCTTAAACTCATGGCCGGGGTGCTGTCCCCTGAGCCTCTTTGTACTCAAGGCTAGTACTCTACCACTTGAGCACAGTGCCACTTCCAGCTTTTTTTGAATAGTTTACTGGAGATAAAGCTAAAGAGTCTTACAGACTTTACAGACTTTTCTGTCCAGGCTGGCTTTGAACCACAATGCTTAGATCTCAGACTCCTGAGTAGCTAGGATTACAGGTGTTACCAGCACCCAGCTAGCTGTATGTTTTAGATGCAACAGTTTGCTTTAAACATTTTTATGGGACCTTCTCTCCCCAATCCATTGTCTTGTTTTTTCCTCTCCTTTTGTTACAGGGTCTTGCTATGTAGTTCAGGCTGGCCTTGAATTTGCAATCTTCCTTCCTCAGTCAACCTCACCAATCTACTCTTTGTTCCCAATCTCTATGATCCTCATAATGAGAAGGAAGAGAACAGGGTGCCCACTCTTTATATATCGATAGTCACTGGATATGCAGGCATGCATACATAAAACACACAGTGATTCCAAGGTAAAATGTAATAGGTGCACAATAGAAGTACCATAGGAGTCTAACATGGGAAGATCAGTTGTGTGAAACTATTGGCAATGAGCGTCATGATTAAGGCCCTGACAGGAGGAACAGGACTGCTGATGGGGGAAAGGTATATGTGAGAGTCCAGAAGCATGATGGGTCCCAGGGAAGCCTGCCAAGGTAAATGATAAGTGCAATGACTCTGTGACACTGGCTAGGAAGGTGTGGCCCAGATCACCAGAATCTGCCATTTCTATTGCTGAGAAGGAAGAAAGGAACCCTGGACTTAAGAAAAACGGATGATGTAACAAAGAGATGCAAAGCCACACTGGCTGCTGGTTGTTAGTGCTCGTTTGCTTTTAATCTAAAAGGATGGCTCAACCCCAAGAGTAGAGAGTGTGGCCCTCGACACCACAGGAAACTTAATGCAGCAATTGCTGGATTATAATGTGAGGTTCTGCAGAGAATCCAGAGCTCAAACTACAGCGTCACAGAAAGATTTTTTGGCTTCCGTACTTAGTTGCATCTTTATTTTGAGTATAAAATGGTACCCCTGTGTGCTTTTATGCAAATGTTATTTTTCTCTGTATGGTTTATATTAGCTTATTAACCTGTAATCAAAATTAAAATGTGTTTTTTCCTCACAGTTTTGCTCATTCGGGAGTCGCCTCATGGGACGGGGGTACTATGTGTTTGATAGAAGATGGGATCGTTTTCGATTCGCCCTAAACTCCATGGTAGAAAAACACTTGAATTCACAGATGTGGAAGTAAGTGAGCAGTTTCTGTGCAATACAAGATCAGAGCTGCCCCATAATTACCTGAACCCTAACTTTCAGAATAAATGTCAGACCAAAATGAGTCTGAAATCAGGATTCGTGATTAATTCTTAAATGTCAACTCTTCTTAATGGTTTGCCTTGAGATTTTTTTAAACACCTATATATGCTGTATGCTTTGTCTCCTTTAAAGATCACTTTTGTGTTGATTAATCTAAACATAATGAAAAGGATACGAGATGAAATCTTATTTAGCATTGTTATAGGGCCTTTATATTACGCTGAGAGCCTCTAAGGATATTAGGAATGTGCTTCTGTTTGTAATGTTAATGCTACAGTACAGACCAATTTCTAGTTCTTTGCTATCCTGTGGGAAAATGTGTACAGTTGCCAACAGGGCAGATCCTAAATAGTGCTGTGAAGTTGATTAAGTTTGTCTTTGGCCCTTCCTGTCTCTGTAGGGCTCCCTCTTCACCTCTGCTTGGCCTTCTCTCTCCCCTAAACTCTGGCTTTGTTCCATTTCTCTAAGCACCCTTTATTCTCCCACACCTCCCAATGTCCTATTTTAATAAGGGATTTACAAAAAGAGAAAAAGCCTCAATTTGGTGGAATACTATCATGAAGAACAGGCTAGGACCTCTCAAACAATACGTAAGAAGCCACTTGATAATAGAAGGCCAACCTCTGAGTATTTCCATACCCCTACTCTTATAAAGGGAATTCTAGATATCATAATGTCATGAGTCACTTCAGTCTGGGTCCTCTTATTACCAGAAGAAGCCAACAATTGAGACCCTACACACACACACACACACACACGTACACACACACACACACATACACACACACACACACACACACACACACACACACACACACACACACACACACGTGAGGCCCAGGAGAGGCCAGAACAATATTCCTGAAAAATGGAAGTAACAGAATCCACAACTTGCCCCTCCCCTAGGCCTCCCTCTGCCCCCAGGCTGCTGTGGCATCTGAACCCACTGGATCTGCATCAAGCTTTTTCAGGGGCTTGGAACAAATGTTAACACTTCCTATAAACTTAAGAAAGGGCCATAAGAGAAGCTTATCATTTCTTCCCATGTGAGTGACTGCCCAGTGTGTCCAAAGGGCACTCCTGATTTCCACATATGTCCTTTCAAAACTGCAACAGAGAGGCACTGCCTGGGAGAATCTAACTTGTTCTCAGTTATCTGATGATTTATCCTTCCATGATGTTTCCTCCCAAATCGTCAGCCTTGGCGATTCCTCACAGCTCTCTGCTCCCCTGTGTTGTGATAGTGTAAACCCCGGACACATGGAAGGAATGTGTTGATCTGTATTTCACTCCCTGGTGTCCTTGTCAGCTCAAGCTCCATATTCCTTTCCTCCTCAGGCACAGAAGCCCGAGCCACCGGGCATCAGGTCCCTCCCCCCTGTTCAGGACTTGCCTAACCAATCTGCTGTCACTGAGCAACATTGGGGCTGCCTGGGTGTCAACTCTGGAGAGCGTAGCACCCCGCTGCCCTCTCAGCCTCGCTGCCCAAACTCCAGGCCCCGACGGGCCCGAACCTGGAGGGATGGCAGCCGATGGGGGCATTGAAGACATTAGGAAGAAAAGGAACGGCAAAGACTCTTTTTTCTTTAACAAGCATTTAACTCTGCATCAGGAGACGCCAACACAGTATTCTCTTTCAGCCAGGTCAGCATCTGGATCTCCATGCCAGCTGTCAGGGGAGGATGGGCACTGTCAGGAACTCATTCGCATCTGTGGGCTTTTGTGTGGGACTTCCCTAGGCTAGTGTGAGAAGCTTAACCCCAAGCACAGCCAGCCAAGCCAAAGTCCACTGCCATCTGGCACCTAGGAAACACATAAACTATTTATTGTGGGGATAAGGGGCTTCCGGGAATACCCCCTTGTCTCACTTCTCTCCTGTCCTGGCTCCCTCCTGCTCCTGCTATCCCCTGAGGATCAGTAGAGAAAGAGGAAAGAAAGAGCTAGCAAATATGCTAAAAGTACCACCACCACCCTTCCCAATTCGGAACAAAGGATAGGTAAACTCTAGAATTCAGTTGTGCTTATCAACACAGTTGAAGCATGGATTAGTATTATATAATGAGGAAAATATAAGTTACAAGTGAATCCCATTCAATGTCATCAAGTGGGGACCTCACTAATGAGCCATCTAGTATTTGTAAATAATCCTTTATTACAAGTCACTGCCAAACCTCGGTCACTTCCTTCTCCCTAAACTGTCTGGGATACTTGAGCCAAGGAAGGGCCAGTGGGATACCTGTAGAGCCAAGGCAAGGCAGCAAAGTTAGCAAGAAACCTTGCTGATGCTTCACATTCTAAGACACACCCTAGCCTTGTTCTGAAGGGGCTGTGCAGTACCAGGCAGTTGTAAGGATGTGTGCAGACCATCCTGGTCTGACTGTGGGAGTCCTTGCCCAGCATGCATAGTCCCTGACAATAGTGTTTTCTTGCTGCTGAGATTGACCTGCTCACCCATTCACCTCCCCATTCATCCATCCATCCATCCACCCATTTATTCATTGCAACAAGTATTCGTGGAGTACCTTGGTTAGTATATTAGTATAAGTTTTAGGCTTGAAAGGAAGCAAATTCTCATACACCATGATGGCTGCTATGGGTTTGGCAGCATTTTTCTCTTATATTTGATCTCTTAGGCCTGATACTTTCAGGACACTGTACTATATTCAGGAAGTCCACTAAAGTTAGAAGCCCCCAGGCTCCACCGAGTACAGGCAGAGAAGGGATCTTCAGAGAGAATGCTAAGAGAGGCACTTATTTCCCAGGGGGGGTCTCTGTCCCGAGCTGTATGAGTGAACATCTATAGGGTAGCTCCAGAGAAAGAGGCACTGTCCCACACAGTGATCCAGGTTTACCAAGGGAGGTGCAAGCCCAGGCCACCTTACCCTTTAATGCTGCTCATAGGATGGGAGCTGCTATGCACTAACCCCTCCCCCACTTCTGCCCTCCCCAGCAGCATCCCCTCAGGGAGTAGATTAGAAGTAGGAGCCATTTCCAGGAGGTGTGGCTTAAGTGGTAGAGCACCTGCCTAACAAGTGTGAAGCCCTGAGTTCAAACCCTGGTATGGCCAAAAAAAAAAAAAAAGTTTAAAGAGAAGCCCCAAGAATGATCCCTTCTTGGTGCTGAGCTCAACTCCAAGAAGTTTGTTCTCAGCACCCACACCCCTACCTAAGTTCCAGGGAAAACAAGCAGAAAGAATCCTCTCTCCCCCATCATCTCTATGCTCTCCTGACACCCCTCTATCCTGCACCTCTCTTCAGAACTAAACTTGAAGCTCCTGATCCCCCTCTTTGGACTCTTCCCTTTTGCCTACAGGACAGGAAGAGCCATCACAACCCCTCCAGTGAGAGCTAAGGTAGGGTGGGTGAAGGGGAAGATGTATAGTGTAACTGCTGGGTAGGAGGAACTTGACATCATTTCCCAAGCCCCTGACCTGCTATGGAGGAGAGGTCCCCATGAGCCAACATGGATATAGTCCAATCTCACAGAGTCTGCAGGTGGCAATCACAGGAAGATGCTGCCCGGGGAGAGAGCTGTTCCCAGAATGTCTGTAGCCAAAAATAGGATGAGAAAGAGGACCACTTTTATCACTGCCAGTTACACACACACACACACACACACATAGAGGAAGATTGCTAGGGATGTTTATATTCTCAATAACATTTGCCTTCTGTTCATAAACCGAAATCAGCCATGTTCCAATAGTTAAGCATGAAGAACAGGATGCGAATACCTGAAAGTAGTGAAATAGAGGCTGGATGTTGCAATGGGGGCAGCATAAAGCAAGGGCCATCCTTCAGACCTTCTCATCTTCCAAGGCTTCATTCTCCATGGTCAAGTTCTGCCAGGGTATGCTCTGTAGCCCTGACACTCAGACTTCATCCTACCTCCCGAGCGATGCCAAGCCGATGTCTCACTGTTTCTCTCTGGCTCTTCTCTCATGTTTAGGAAGATCCCTCCTGCGGCAGATACCCCCATGCCCTCGCCAGCAGCCCACATCACCACCCCTGTTCCAGCATCCGTTTTGCAGCCTTTCAGCAACCCCAGTGCTGTGTATCTTCCTTCAGCTCCCATCAGCTCAAGACTCACCTCTTCTTACATAATGACATCAGCCATGCTCTCAGACGCAGCTTTTGTGGCATCGCCGGACCCGCGTGTCCTCATGTCCCACACCACAGCTTTCCCTCATGTGGCCGCTACCCTCAGCATCATGGACTCAACCTTCAAGGCTCCATCCGCCGTGTCCCCGATACCAGCTGTCATCCCTTCCCCATCCCACAAGCCATCCAAAACCAAAACCAGCAAATCCTCAAAAGTCAAAGACCTGTCTGCCCGTAGCGACCAGTCTCCAAGTAACAAAAAGAGGAAGCCACAGTCTTCGACTTCCTCTTCCTCCTTGTCCTTGCAGACTTCCCTCTCATCGTCGCCATTGTCAGGGCCCCACAAAAAGAACTGTGTTCTCAATGCCAGTTCTGCTTTGAACTCCTATCAGGCAGCCCCTCCCTATAACAGTCTGTCTGTGCACCACTCCAACAATGGGGTGAGCCCACTCAGTGCCAAGCTGGAGCCCTCAGGACGGACCTCGCTGCCCGGCGGCCCCGTGGACATAGTGAGACAGGTGGGCGCGGTGGGCGGCAGCAGTGACTCCTGTCCCCTCTCGGTGCCCTCCCTTGCGCTCCACACGGGGGATCTCTCTCTGGCCTCACACAATGCCGTGTCTTCTCTGCCCCTTTCTTTTGACAAATCAGAAGGAAAAAAGCGTAAGAACTCAAGTACTAGTAGCAAAGCCTGTAAAATCACTAAAATGCCTGGTATGAATAGCGTTCACAAAAAGAACCCGCCCAGTCTTCTTGCACCGGTGCCCGATCCCGTTAACAGCACCTCCTCTCGGCAGGTAAGGGACCTCCTGGCACTGCCTTCATCAGCTCTGGGGGGCAGGGGGAGCTGGGCAAGGCCCCTGCTCGGCCAGGTGGCTCAGGCAGGTAACACAAGTGTGGCTCCTTTTCTCCTTCCCTGTGGACCATTCACACCCCTGCTCTGAGCATAGTGGTTCTTTTCATAAATGCTTTTAAGACTTTTAGGTGTACATGAGGCTCTGTGCTAAGCACTTTGCAGTGATTACCTCCTTACGCTGTACCCACGTAGCCTAGTGGGTACAGTTGCCACTGCTTTACAGATGGGTAAACAGAGACACAATGATTCCAAGTTCCTTATTCCACTTCTGTCTGTATCATACCTTAAACTGCTAAGGACAGCTTCAGGAAAGAGTTCTGTTGCTAAGAAGTTTGATCTGACCTGTTAAGAATCCCCTCCAGGGCTGGGAAGGTGGCTCAGTGGTAGAGCACTTGCCTTGCATGCATGAGGCCCTGGGTTCGATTCCTCAGCACCACATAAGCAAAAGAAAAAAGCTGGAAGTGGCGCTGTGGCTCAAGTGGTAGAGCGCTAGCCTTGAGCTGAAGAGCTGAGGGACAGCGCCCAGGCCCAGAGTTCAGGGCCCACAACCAGACCCAAAAAAAGGAAAAAAAAAGAATCCCCTCCAGAAAAGCCCAGGGCAGGTTACATGGTACCCAGACCCACCTGAGAAGCATTGCCTGCCAGTCTGGTTCCCACCTCGACCCCCACTTCCTCCTAATATAGTTCTTTCCTTCCTCCCTCGCACCAACTGGCAACTAGTGTTCCATGCATAGTACCCCCCAGGAGCATGTAATGTTATAAGCAAGCCTAGGAAATGTGCATGGTCCAAGAATACCTTTGTTTTCCCCCAGAGCTCTGCTCCCATTCCCAAGTCCAGTCTGTCTCTTCTTTTTTTTTTTTTTTTTTTTTTGCCAGTCATGGGGCCTGAACTCTGGGTCTGGGCGCTGTTCCTCAGCTCTTCAGCTCAAGGCTAGCACTCTACTACTTGAGCCACAGCGCCACTTCCGGCTTTTTCTGTTTATGTGGTACTGAGGAATCGAACCCAGGGCCTCATGCTTGCAAGGCATGCACTCTACCGCTGAGTCACCTTCCCAGCCCTCCAGTCTGTCTCTTCAAGCTAGGGGAGCTACTTAGGAAAACCACCACCACCCTGGCCAGCAAACAAGGCAGAGTGGAGTGCTCAGGCCTGTGGGGGAGCCAGCCATGGGGACACCAGTGAGGAGAGAGCACGACTGGGCCTTACCACTACAGAACCAATCAGCCACACCCTAAAGCCAGCCTTGTGCAGCAATAAAGGCTTTTGAGAGTTAGCAGGCAGTTGTTAAAAGATGTTTTCATGTTCTCTGTCACTATGTATGAGACTTGTAAAGCCCCACAAAGAGCATTTCTTGAGGGGGGAATCAGGGCTGGAGAGCTGCAACCAAGGCTAAGTGGGAGGGGATCTGCTGTCAACCTGGGTTTACTGAAGCTCTCCAGAGTCCCACTTGGAGACCCCAGAACTGGGTAGTGTCACCTTCAGGATCCAGACAGAGGGCAGAGCAAGGACTTTTCAAAATGAAATATCCCATGTATTTCTACCATGCTGCCAAGCAGGCTGTTCAACTGATTTTGAGAACACAGCCAGAACAGCAAAGCCTTGATATCTCACTCATTTCAGATGAACGTGTGTTTGATGAGCTTGGTCCCTAGGACTTTAGATATATGAACTCAATAATTGCTCCCTTTTTTTTTTTAACAGATAAGTCAGTCAAGGTACAGGAAAGTTATGCAAGGTACCCGGAGTCACACAGCAAGTAAACAGTAGAGAGGGCAATATGGTAGTGACTCTGCAATAAATACTCCGTTAGCAATTTAGTCTATGACACTTAATCAGCATGAAAACGCAGCCAGTCACTCCAGTGGTGAACAGAGTCAATGAGCCTCCACCACACAGTGCCCGGCAGAAGGGGAATGAGGAAAGTGGGAGTGCTCACAGCTGCCAGTGGGCTGCTCAGCACTGCTTCTGTGAAGCAGAAAGTGGTTTGGTGCTGCTCTCCAGGCCACTGAGCATAGACTTTGTCCAGGGTCTCACCGTGGATCTGTGTTGTCTGTGTGGATTTTGTTAGAAGACTGGGAGAGGCAAGCTACTCGGTAGAGGAGTCCAAGGTAAATTAGGCGTTCAGAGGCAACTTGAGGTGTCATTTAATCATATCTAGTAGCTGTACAGCCAGAATTGGCCACCAAGGATAAAACTGGATACAAATAGACTCTGAGTGGAAGGCAAACTTTGTGTGCAAAAGCAGGTAAATGTAGAGGAGGAGCCACCAATAGGCCTAAGGCAAGAGCTGCCTTACTAAACAAGACAGGCATGGAGGGCTGGTCCAAGGTCAGCTCCCTGAGCATCAGGCCCCCATGTGCGAGGACAATCACAGAGGAAAGGCCACAGCCACATGTCCCAGGACTATCACTCCAGGGACCCAGCTCATAGCATCCTTCCCCCCCACACCCCCACTCTTGTACTCATGCGTGCAACTGGGTGCCTTTGCTGGCTTTCTGAAGAATAAGAGGCTGTGGGATAGCCAGGTATCAGTGGCTCACATCTATAATCCTAGCCACTCAGGAGGCTGAGATCTGAGGATCAAGGCTCAAAGCTCACTGAGGGCACAAAAGTCCGTAAGACTCTCTTAGCCATCAAAAGCTGAACTGGAAATATGGTTCAAGTTGTAGAGTACCAGCTATGAGCAAGAAAGCAAAACACACACATACATACACACACCCTGTGTGTGTGCACATGCACACTTTTATCTACTGCTAGCTTAAAGACTTTCCAGAGAAACAAGATGGGTCTGGCACTGTGATCAGAAGTGGATGAATCTCCCCATCATTCTGATTTTCATCTGAGAGGGGGTATCCTCAAGGAACCCTTGGAACTATTGTTCTTTTTCCTGCCATTGAGGATGGAAAGGCCAATGCTAGGCAATGTGAGGGAATAAGAATATTGTGTAGCCCCATCCCTTCTCCCTAGCAATGTGTGCTGTCAAGTGTCTTTCCCACTGCTGCTGGCGTCTAAGTCACACTTCACTGGTGTCTTTCAGGTTGGGAAAAATAGCAGCCTAGCTTTGTCACAATCCAGTCCTTCAAGCATATCCAGCCCAGGACACAGCCGACAGGTACGTGGCTGGGGGGCAAACAGCCGCCAACATCAAGGCAGAAAGGAAGGCATTGGGGTCAGACTCAGTTTCAAATCTCACCTCAGTCAAGAGCATGCTTAATCTGGCTTCTGAAACTGGGGCCTTTCAGTTATGAGGTGTGAGACTTTGAGCAAATTACTTAGCTTTTCTCTTCCCATTTCCTCACCTAGAAAGTGAGGATCAGAATGACTCTTAACCTCTTAAGGCATTTGTGAAGACTAGTTTATTTATGTAAAGTCACTGGAAATTAAAAACCTGGCACATGGCACACACACAAGTGTGTTAGCTACTGCTCTTCTTGCCAGTTGTAAGATCTTAGATACTTCTCTGGGTCTCCATTTTTTATCTGTTAAAGGGAAAAATTGATACCTACCTCCTAGGCGAGTTGTGAAAACTGTGCAAGATGATGTGGATTTAATAGCTTTCACATGGCATATGTCAGCCTGTGCTTTCTCAAAGGTCTTTGGTGAGCAAAGTTACCATTCAGCATATGGTTTCCCTGTGGGAATGTTCAGGGCAGACTTGGCCATTTTTATACAATTGATGGATGAGATCAGTCAACATATAAGCTCAGAGATTGATCATTTCCTCCAATGGAGTGCCATGTGGGATGGAAACTCGAGAGAGTAGAGAGGAGGGTTGTGCCACATAGACTTGGTTGGAACATATATAAAGAACTGTGCTGGGTAGGTCTGGGAAGGTGGCTCAGTGGTAGAGCGCTTGCCTTGCATGCCTGAGGCCCGGGGTTCGATTCCTCAGCACCACATAAGCAAAAAGAAAAAAGCCGGCGCTGTGGCTCAAGTGGTAGAGCACTAGCCCTGAGCTAAAGAGCTAAGGGACAGTGCCCAGGCCCAGAGTTCAGGCCCCAAGACCGGACCCCCCCCCCCAAAAAAAAGAACTGAGCTAATGTTTGTCTTAGATGTGTAGTATATTTTGTAGACACTAAAGACGATGTGTTTTTGTTTTGTTCTTTGGGATTCCTCCACAAATTTCATGTAAAATTTGGAGATCGACTGACTGTGAGGAAACCTTTTATACCCCCCCCGAATAGAAGAGTCCCACTACTCTTCAGAGTTGCTGTGACATTTGCTCCTCATGTCTCTGCTTGGTCACCTCTGTTTATGGAGGTCTCTTGCAGAGCTTGCTGGAAGCCACACTTCCACCTTTACAAGCATGGCATTGTGTGCCTAAAAGTCCAGCACCCCTGCTAGAAGCCAAAGGCTGACACTAGCCTTAATGAGTACTAGAACAATAACTGCCACTATTTGTTGAGTGCAGATGCTGTACTAAGCCCTTTACATAGAACATATATGTGGAAGCCTCCCAACAACCCTGTGAGGGGCAAGATTATATTCCACTGATACATGGATATGGCTGCACTAAGAAGCTAAGTAACTTGAGTCCAAATCTCTATCTCCAAGCCTCTGTCTGACCCAATACTATATATCTTCCTTAGATAGTTCCCTGTTGCCCAAGTATATAGCCTCAATAGGAAGAGGTAATCCAATATGAAAAATATGAAGAGATTATTTTAGCCCTCTCTCCAGGAGAAGTATCCCATATATGTCCAAGCCTTTGTCCTTGTATTTCCCTCCAGCTCTAGGACCATTGTGACTACCCTACATTTAGGAGCTTCTTATATTTGTCACCTTATTTGCTTATTACAGCTGCCCTTCACATACCAGAGGTGGCTTATTGTTTTTTCAGTCATAGACAAGAAAAATGAGGCTCTGTTCAGTTTTTTTGGTTCATCCCAAATGTATGAATTTGAAACAAGTTGTTTTTTTTTTTCCTTTTCTTTCCCAGAAGAACACAAACAGAATGGGCAGGATAAGGACGCTTCCATAACAAGATGATGAAGCCACTTCCAAAACAATTTCTGGTGGTGATCGCACCCTAGGAGGCTGTGGCACAGAGGAGGGAAGGGGACTGGCCCATGAGCAAGCATCTGTTACCTGTACCCTGCTGTGGCTCTGGCCTTTCTTCTTTCTTCTTCCCCCTCCTCCTTTCTTCTTTCTTTTCTTTTTCCTTTTCCTTCTTCCTTCTCCTCTTCCTTCTTCATTGACCAAATTTCAGTTTGAAGAAAAAGAAAATGGCAAAAAGAACGTGCATTTGAGATTGACAGCAAACAGTCCCAGTGTTTTCTTTACATTTTTCATTTGCCACATTTATACACGCTTCCAAATGTGGAGTCACTCCCTCAGACCCTGGTGTTGCTACTTCACTGAGAGCAGACACAGCCGGATGCCGGCTCTGAGCCGGTCTCCCATGGAAGCTCTTGAACCATCACACATGCAGAGCTCTTTTACCCCCTCATCTTCTCTTATCCCATCCCTCCATCCCCAACCTGACCCTCACTGGTCCCCACCTGCCATCAGAAGGTGCTGCTCTCACCAGCCACCCCTAGACAGGGTGCTTAGGAAAGAAGTCTCTAGAAGAGGAGCTTGTGTTTGAAGTAGAAAGAGCCAGAGAGTCAAAGGGATACCTTCCTGGGCACCATGGTTACAGCTAAATGCTAAGGGCCAAATTGAGAACAGTGGCCATACATTAACATACATAGTAAAGTACCTGAACCAGTACTACAGTCCAGCTGTGCAGCTCAGAAAAGATCTACTGAGTTTAATCAGAGATGGGGCTTGAGTGGGTGGCAGGAAGCAGATCGTAGGGCATAAAGGACAATATCCCTTGAAATATGTGGGAACCAGGTGACTGATAGTTTGAGCTTGCTAAGAATGCCTTTCGCAGCAGTGTGCAAGTTCCCAAAGCTGGGTGAGCAGAGCGAGTCCAAGAAAGCTACTCCATGAGATGATGGGGTGATCATAGCTACTGTAGGTTCTGGAGCTTCTCTTCAGGGCCAGGAATATCCTCCAGGAAAAGCTTATTTGGAGAATTTTGTGCCAAACTCACCCACACCCGAAAATGAGCTTGCCTCAACTCAAATGTCCTAGCTCAGAGACAGAAGTAGTAAGAGCAAGCCCCCCCCCCTTGGTTAAGAACCAGTGAAAGAGCTGGGAGACCTTGGCACACTGCAGTTTTCAGCACCCCACACTGGAGTTTTGAAAAAGGTGGTAACATCCTAAGTTCTAATGATCATAATCAACGGAATTTCACAGCATAAGGCTGGTGTTCCATGCGCTTCTGAACTTACGGCACCACGCTGTGACATAGAGCAAAGATACCAAGAGATTCCACTGAAATCTGAAATGAATGCTAGTTTCACAGCTGGACACACCCCTCTTCCTCTCCCTGAAGTTTTCCTTTATGTTTCCTCTCTCCCAACCCAAAGATCAGACTACTGGTAACTTGTACCATGTGATTGGAATCTGCAAAGACGGGAGGCAAATGGAGTGATTTACATCAATGCAATTGCACTGACAGTGTTTCTTATAGAATTACTAAATTTTTTAAATATAAAATGATTTTTTTTAAAAAAATCAGGAGTTGCTATTAAGTACCAGGACATTTAGTTGGGATGATTTCATTTTTTATTTTTACAGTGTTAAAAGTGCACTTATATGCTGGTTTATTTACGTCTTGGGAAAAAGAGACTGCAAATTGAAGGGACGATTGTTACTTTTCTTTTTAAAAAAAGGATAAGGCAGATTTTAAGACTTATAAATGTTTAAGATTATAAACAAGGTTAGATCCTTTGAAAAAAGTTTAGAAGATATTCTTAAAGTAAATTTTTATAGTGTTAATTTTGTAATAATTTATGTTTTACTATATTACAGAGCTAACTGACCAGAATAGTTTCAGAAACAATATGAAACTTAGGAAAGTTTAAGCAATGTTTATATTTTTTAAATGTTCTTTGAATTATGTTTTTATTGTACATTTCTTCAGACTGAAAAATATGTACATATCTTTGTTATTTTTGCACAATTTTTGTCTTGTTCAGTTTTAGAGTCTTTTTTTTATAATTTATTTTGAGTTGTACAACTTGCAGGAGTAAAACAACAAAACAAATCTCAGCAACAAGGAACCCTCTGACTTATAAACTTCTTATATTCAAAGAGGGAATACAGAGGTTGAGAGATTAAGTGGCTACTTCTGAGAAATAATGTCTCAACAGAGACTAAAGGATCAGTCTAGTAGGTTTCAACATGGTAGCCTTCTACGTCCTGAATTGGAAGATGGAATAGAGGCTCCCCACCGAATGCTGCTTACTTTCTTGAAAGACTGGCTTTGACCAAGGTGAGGACATTTCTGGAAAACTGAGCAAAAAGGGAAAACCCACGGTATTTCTTCCTTCGCAACCAACCACAGGTTTACTTTATAATGATGTATTTAAAAAAAAAAAACTTGCAGCTTGAAAAATGGAATGCAAATAAAAAGGTTATATTTGGGTTTGTTTTCGTGGCGTTCAACTGGACCAGCCTATAAAGCATTATTAGAGTGATATCTTTTGGGTCCTTCTCTTCTGCACACCCCACTCAGCCTTCTCTCCCAGTCCCTTGACTGCACACACCCTTATTCGCCTGAAGATCTGACTTGTCGCCAGCCATGAAGGCTCGAACGCTCTGGTTGGTAAGCATAACGCAGTGCATAGACCTGTCAGCCATAAAAACAAAAAACAGAAAAAGAAAAAAAAAGCGACTTGGATAACTTGTATGCCTTCTTTTGTATCAATGTACCAATTGTAAATAATGCTGATCAACCTTTGTAGAGAATAGTTTATACAGCATATTCTATTATTGCTGATTCTCAGTGAACTCTTGTTTTAAAAAAAAAAAGGGAAAAAAAGAAATTTTCTATTTACACCTTCTATTTTGTTATGCTGTTGGCCCACGGCACTTTAACAAAAAACTGTGGGTTTTCTGTAGCTGGCCAGTCATGGGGTACATTAAATAACTGTTGTTGCACACTCAGAATTTGCACCTGCTCATTTGTCCTTTCCTACTACCGATTTTAGATCCTTTTCCAGAAGAATTTTGAAGAAAGCATGTCCAATCATTTGAAACAAATGCCACACTTGTGGAGTGGGGTTTCTTTTCTACAATCCATATTTTGTAACACTAAGTATTTTCCTTCTTTATCCTGCACCTTTATGTATTAGCACTATCAGATAGAATTCATTCCATGCCTGTGATATTGTAAGCAGAATAATTGTCAGAAGTAGGTGTAAATAGTAAATTCTATGGCTTACAGTTTTAAAAAGAACAAACATGTATCTATGGATACTGCCATGGTTTAGCACCAGGCCTGGGAATATTCTCCAGTGAGAGATTGTATTTTTTTTTTTGCTTTTTTTTTTTGTAACATGGCTTTGTAAATAAAATAATTTATATGTTTGTAAAACAAAGTTGTTGGGTTTTCATAAAATTTATATATTTGTTATTGCCTCTTATTTCCTTGTGAGACTTCCCATTAGTACATAACCTTAATGTTGAGATGATGACAGGTAGTTAATGACAGTGATTCACCGAACAAATATTTAGGAGCTTCCCCTCTGTGCCTGCCCCTGAGCTAGGCACTCTATGCTTAGTAGAAAGAAACAGACACCATCCTCGCTGCTCTCCTGAAGCAGCCCAGTTGGGGAGAGATTCAGTGTTAACTGCAGACTATAGTAAAGTGCTGTGGTGGAAAGAACTGAATTCTATGGAAGAGAAAGTAATGAGAAGCTGTTATATGGAGAGAGTGAAAGTGAGCTATCAGGCATTCTCTCTGAAGAAAAAGCCAGAAGGCAATGACTACCTAAGAGAGGACCAACTTGTTATGCTTGCTTCAGCAGTACATAGGTTAAAAGTGGGAAAATTAATTTGCAGAACTGAAGAGAGTCCATTGTGCGCTGCTGATTTATAGTCAGTGGTAGAGTCTAGGCATGGTATGTTTAAATACCTGAATTTGATCCTTAGCACAAAAAGAAAAGTTGATTGTAAACTGCCGGAACAGAGAGATGACCAGAAGATAGGGACAACCAGATGCTAACGGCTCATGCCCATAGGCCTAACTATTTAGGAGGCTGAGATCTGTAGAGTCACTGATCAAGGCTATCTTCAGCAGTAATTTTTTTTAATAACTAAACATTTATTTACTTTGCACTAAGACTTTATCTGAGTACATAACTAAATTGTTTCCATCCCACCCCATCTTGAAGGGTTAGTTTGTGAATGTTATAGATAGGAACAGTTTGAAGGACAGGAACCAACATTAACTGACAATGAACAACTTCCATCTAAATCATCATCAAAAAAGAAAAAAGAAGATACAATGAGGGCCTTCAATAGAAAGATCCTCATTTGATCTAATACATTCGCTCTTGGCTAGACTGTAACAAAATGGAAACAGCATTACTGTTAATACAAACTCCCACTATAGCACATTGTACATGCCTCTGTTCCAAGCCCATCCCCTGTGCCCTTCCAACTCAATTATTTCCCAGCCTGTTTGGCCTGCAGACGAAGGAGTATGTAGATCTTCTCTTTGGTCCAGTCTTTGTTATAACACTGGTATGTTTGGGTATCAGCTCAGTAAACAAGGCAGCTGAGATCTGCCAGATCGTCAATAAAATCAAACAACTGACTGATATGTGATCGAGGGGCTATTGGGATTCATTCTCTTCAGATGTTCTTCATACATTTTTCAAACACCTTCCATGCATTCATTCACAGATTTATAGTGTAAGTTGTGCCTTCTGGCCTCTTGGTAGGCTGCACCAGCAAAATGGCGTGAGACATTGCACTAAACGCTTTGCTGCTGCCGCTAACACCACTGCCACACACAAGCTCTTCAGCAGCAAATCTGCTAGACTTTCTCTAAAGTAACCAGCAAAAAAAAAAAAAACTAGAGCTATGATTCAAGTGATAGAGTACCAGCTGAGGAAGCAAGCCAAGCAACATGAAGTCCTGGGTTCACACTCTTATACTAACAAGAAGAGAAGGAAGGAAAGGGGGAAGAGAAAAGAAGAAAAAGCTCTGTGCCAGTAGCTCATGCCTATAATCCCAACTACTCAGGAGGCTGAGATCTGAGGATCACAGTTCAAAGCCATCCCAGGCAAAAATGTGAAATTTTTACCCAATAAACCATCAAAAAAAGAACAAATACAGCTGTGGCTCAAGTGTAGAGCACCATCCTTGAGCACAAAAGCTCAGGGACAGCACCCAGGTCCTAAGGCTTTTATGCTCAAAGTTAGTGCTTCTACCACTTGAGCCATAGTTTACTTCCCAAAAAAAAAGAGTCTCATAGACTTTCCTGCCCAGACTGGCTTTGAACTTTGGCTGGCTTTGATCCTCAGACCCTCAGTCTCCTGGGTGGCAAGGATTAATGGTATGAGCCACCAGGGCCTGGCATCTTTCTTCTTTTTTTTTTTTTCCCTTTGATAGGGTCTCAGGCTGGCCTTGAACTCATGATTTGAGTGCTTGGATTACAGACATGCAGCACCACACCAAACCAAGATTCCTAATAAAACAGTTCGGATTTTTTCAGAGGCTTAAAAACCAAAGCAAGATGAGATTTTTTTTTAAAGGGGAACTGCAGGAATAGTGTTTAGTGAAAATCAGAAATTCTGCTTTGTGCTTTCCACATAAGCAGCTAAGAGATGATCACTAAAAATGATTCAGAAAGCCCTACAAATTCATGTAAGTCAAGAGGCTCAAATTTTCATGCTTGCCTCAGATTTCTGAAAAGTTACACTTACTGAAGTAATGTGTTCTGTTCCATCACTACAATGGTAAAATTGATTGTGTGTACCCAGGTCAAACTGCAAGACTGAACAAAAAGTCTATAACCCAAAAAGAATGATGAACTTTTTGCTGCTTGTGCCTGAGAAGGCAGAGAGTAATACTGAACTTAAGTGCTTAGATGTGACTTTTAAGGACACAGTTGTTGAAAATATACTTTTAGTTGGGCACCAGTAGGTCACATCCGTAATCCTACCTATTCAGGAGGCTGAGATCCAGAGGATTATAGTTCAAAGCCAGCCAACTAGAAAATGTCTAAAGATTTCATCTTCAAAATAACCAACAAAAATTCAGGGCTGGAGGTATGGCTCAGCAAGCCAACTGAGCACAAGGCCCTAAGTTCAAATTCCAATCTAGAAAAAAAAGGAAGGAAGGAAGAAAAGGAAGGAAAGAAGGAAGGAAGGAAGGGAAGGAGGGAGGGAAAGGACGGAGAGACAGAAGTCGGGTGCCTGTGGCTCATGCCTGTAATCCAAGCTATTCAGGAGGCTGAGATCTGAGGATCATGGATCAAAACCAGCCCTGGCAGAAAACTCCATGAGATTCTTATCGCAAAAAACTACTCAGAAAAATCCAGAAGTGGCACTATGACTTATGTGGTAGAGCACTAGCCTTTGAGTACAAAAAGGCTCGGGGATAGCACCCAGACCCTGAGTTCAAGCCCCAGGACTGACATTTTAAAAAAAGGAAAGGAGCCGGTGGCTCACACCTGTAATCCTAGCTACTCAGGAGGCTGAGATCTGAGGATCACTGGTTCAAAGCTAGCCCAGGGAGGAAAGTCTGTCAGACTCTTATCTCTAATAAACCACTAGAAAACCAGAAGTGGCGCTGTGGCTCAAGTGGTAGAGCGCTCACCTTGAGCTGAAGAGCTGAGGGATAGCACCCAAGCCCAGAGTTCAAGCCCCACAACCGACAAAAAAGAAGTAAAAGGAAAGAGGAGGAAAGAAAATGTGCACTTAATTACTATAGAATAATGACAAATCATATAAAAATTGACACAATTTGGAATACTCCACTGGGATAATAAATTCCCAGTTGAATTTATCTCTAGCTCTCAGAAACACCTGAATGATTAGCTATTCACTGCTTGAAGGAAAGAAATTAATAAATTCAGTGTCTGCCACTTAGATAGGGAAGAGGATGTTAAAATGTGAATTCAGTGTCTATTAGCACATTCA